ACTCAACACACAGCCATTAATGTCTAAACCGCTGGCCACAAAAGTGAGTACACCCCTAAGTGAAAATGTCTTACAAAATGTTTTTTGTAAATATTTACAAAAATGTGAGGGGTGTACTCACTTCTGTGAGATACTGTATGTTGCAATCAAACTTATAGCAAAATTTGGTAGTTTTGTATGTTGGTTCAGGGTTGTCGTCATCTGAGGTCCTCGGAGGGGTTGGCATCATCTCTTCTCAGGTGTTCGGTCATCTTAGATCTTCATAAGGGTTGGATCCAGACTGAAGCTTGTGTAAATCCTAGTTACCTCGGGGTGCCAATCCCGTGGCAGAAACAGAGAAGCAAATAGAGAAAAAATTGTGTTCAAATGAAGCAAAAAATTATAATGTGCATTTGATCAGATATAACAAGGTTATGAGATTATGAGATGAGACATTATGTGAATGCTTGGTTAAAGAGATGTGTCTTGTAATCTAGATTTAAACAGAGAGAGTGTGTCTGAACCCCGAACGTTATCAGGAAGGCTATTCCAGAGTTTAGGAGCCAAATGCGAAAAAGCTCTACCTCCTTTAGTGGACTTTGCTATCCTAACCTTAGGGAGCGTGATGGATTGTAGCGTGGTAGAAGACTAGTTAGGTACGCAGGAGCTAAACCATTTAGGGCCTTATAAGTAAGTAGTAGTATTTTGTAACTGATATGGAACTTAAAAATTGGGGTAATATGATCATATTTTCTTGACCTGGTAAGGACTCTAGCCGCTGCATTTTGGACTACCTGTAGCTTGTTTATTGAAGATGCAGGACAACCAGCTAGCAGTGCATTACAATAGTCCAGTCTAGAGGTCATGAATGCATGAACTAGCTTTTCTGCATCAGAAACGGGTAACATGTTTTGTAGCTTGGCAATGTTTCTAAGATGGAAGAATGCTGTTTTTGTAACATGGGAAATATGATTTTCAAAAGACAAGTTGCTGTCTAATATCACACCCAAATTTTGACTTTAGAGGAAGTAACAGTACATCCCTCTAGATGCAAATTGTAATCTAAGAGATTCTGTGTACTGTTTTTATTACTTATCAGAATTTAATAGGAGAAAATTATTGGCCATCCAATCTTTTACATTTTTAACACACTCTGTTAGCTTAGATAATTTTAAAGTTTCATCTGGTATTGTTGAAGTTTATAGCTAGCTGAGTATCAACAACATAATGGAAACTAATCCTGTATTTTCTAATAATATTACCAAGGGGCAACATGTATATTGAAAATAGCAGAGGGCCTAAGACATATCCTTGTGGCACTCCATACTTTACTGGCATTAATTGAGATGATTCCCCGTTTAAATAAACAAAGAATTTATATATTGATTATACATAATGCAGTTCCTTGTCGAAAATTCCAACTGTGTAGCTGGTCAATAGCTGGTAAAAAACAGCTGTTACCTGGTTTGTTGGAGGTCCAAGATGGAGCACACCTGCTACTATATCCCAAAACACAGCTACCAAACTTAAACTTGAGAGTTTGTGTAGACTAAAACTTGTTTACAAGCCATAGTGATGTTCAGTTTATGAACTGGGAAACTGTTTCTGAATGATTCATTTCAGTCCTTATCTTATAAATGGAAAGGTAATGGAAATTTGTTGGTCAGAAAGACCCAACAAATTTGGTCAGATGTTGGTCAGAAAGCCATTTAACATCTAGACAAAAAACTTGAACTGTTACCAAATATTTTCTCAATTGTGGTCATAAAACTGAAGGCAAACTCTTTGCCACTAAGAGAGTTGGCAGTGGTTGTAGTATGAGTATGTAGTCACGTGTTCATTTTAAATTCCTAAACTGGACAAATTAACTTCCAGGTCTGCGTTTTGTACTCCACTTGATTCAAGATTTATAGTAAGAAAATTTGAGTGCAGTAGAGGAAATTGAATGCGTTCCAGCTCAATGAGGTCTAGCTGTTTAATTAATAATATGTTAATTTTTTTCAGTAGATGTGTAGATAGTGCAAAGCTACAGGCTGTATTGTTGTTGTAAAGGGGCATTAGGTTCCTGCGTGTCTTGAGTTGGCATCAGTGCTATTATTCCTGCCCTGGTCTCAACAATTTGCTATTAGCATTGGCATCACGTCCAAGCACTTCTGTTCTACAGGCCTAGAATAGTTTGGTGAACCAACACTGATATTGCCAGGATATCTCTTTTACAGAGCATTTCTTGAGTATGGAAAATTATTTGTATTAGCTTTTTTTTTGCATGACAAAAGCTTTCAGCTTTTTGTAGGCACATTTGAGGCATCTTAAGGACAGTGGGTTCAGTGGATTGTATGTATGTGTATATATAAAAGGTAATTTGTGCACTTTTTCCATATGGCAATTAAATCTCATTCATAGGTTGATTTCCCTTAAAAGTGTAAACACTTTGGAGCTTTCAAAACATTTAGTGTGTTTAAACATCCCAACCAGTCCAATATAGCAACGGCTCAACCAATGGTCCAAGTTGGGGGCGGGGCTGAATGTTTGGCTGACCAATGGCAGATAAAGCAGTGTTTGGGGAAACCTGTTTAAAAATTATCACTTTTTTCAAAACTCAGTTTTATGGGGTATCAAGTGTAACCAGACTGTGGACTGAATGAATAATATGGTATGAAATGCAGTATTTGATGACAAAAATGTAGTAAATTACTATGTTCTTCACAGAATGTGCATTTTGTGAATGAAATGCATTAATGACATGCTGAGTTATGAAAGAATTTTGATTAAATGTATTTTGTGATCTAGACAACCCCTTTTGTGAACATTTTCATCCATTTTATGAACGAAAAGCATTTTGTGCCATGCTGGGTGCATTTTGTCCTCAAATTTATTTTCCATTTATTACAAATGAACATTCCAGTTTTCCAGTGTGCAATTAACAATTTGTAGACAAATGCATTTTGTGACATGATGAGAGCATTTTATTCACAAATTTTTTTTCTGTTGTTCATGAAATGAAATTCACCTTTACATTCACAAATAGAAGGAAATTTCATGCACAAAATCAGTTTTAAGTTTCACATAACATGAAGTGCTTCTGCTGACATGTGACTG